CCCCCCCCCCCCCTCCCCCCCCCCCCCCCCCCCCCCGCGCCCCCCCCCCCCCCCCCCCCCCCCCCCCCCCCCCCCCCCCCCCCCCCCCCCCCCCCCCCCCCCCCCCCCCCCCCGAGCGAGTTCGAGAGAAGTCTTGTAGCAGGGGGACGGGTGATGGAGGATGTGATGGGACAGATGAAGAATCATCGTGATGATTACGGGTGGAGGAACACGAAGGCGTCCTCGTGTCCAGACCTATCACAGCAGCATGACACGAACCAGACTGTCGGGACTGGGCTTTGTCGTTGGTGGCGTACGTGAGTGAGAAGTGACGGGCTGTTGGGAGTTATGAAGAATTTCGGGGGTTGCGAGAGAAGGGAGGGGGGTGTGCGAGTGTTAGATACGTACGTTGACAGGTTTGTTGTGGAAGTTTGAGAGGCAAGGAAGTTGTTTGCTTGTTTGCAATGTAACTGCTAAGAAAGAAAAGGGAGATTGTCGTTGGATGGTTTGGGGAGGTGCCATGCGGACGCAACCGGGGCGGCTAGTCACACAGCGCCTTGACGGATAACGCGCCGTTGAGTCGGGATTGGTATTCTTCACAGTGTGTGGCTTGGAAACCCCGGGTTTGTGACGCGTTACGCTGCGTGTTTGTTTGTTGGTTGTTGGACGACTTTGGTGTGGCATGGTTGCCAGGTTTGAGAGAGTCGGGTTGCCGGATCTGGGACCAGTGAAGACCAATCTTGAACCCTTGACAGCGCTGGGGAGGCCGGGCCCCTCTGTCGAAGCAACATGAGGATCCCCCTGGTAATTGTGTATTGCAAATTGTGGTTGCATGGTTTGACGGGTTATTGAAGAAGAGGGTGGAGCACGTTGTTGGTGTTGTTGTGACGAGAATGTTTGCTTTCCTCGACAGGGTTTGGGAGAGGTCGGATTCTGCTTGGGGCGTCTCCACATCCACAGGGTTCTTGGGGATGTAGTTGTTGGTTCAAGGTTTGGCGACGCCTTCTGCAGATTGTCATGTCCATCAGCAGGAAGGTTGGTGGCTTGGGTTCTCGCATGCGGTGGCGTTGCTGAATGCACGTCGGGGATTGTTGTCAAGTCAGCATGGAAGCGTTCTCGAAGGATTCGATTATGAGTGACTGGCGATGTCTTCAAAGGGCTTGTTGGTATCGTGGTCGTGGCAGTGATCTGCGCTGGACCAGGCGACACCGCCTGCCCCCAATCCCGAGGAGATGGGAACTTTGGAGATTTGTGGGACGGCATGAGGGCTTGTACTCCGTCTGCTGGAGGACGCAGATGGTCTTCCTCGACATCGAATCTTGGCTTGCTGGGGGCTAAGTTGAACAGGGAGTGATCGGTGCTTGGTGATCTTGTAACGTCTGAGGAAGGATCGTGTTGAATCAAGGAGTCACAAGCGAGGTTTGTCTAAGCCCTGTTGCACGTTGACTGGCCGAAGTAACTGTGGAGTTGGACCAGAAACGGTGACGGAAGGAGAGTACCATAACTCACAAAATCACCAGCTCATTGGTGCCGTCATAATGATTTCTCTCCTTGACACCAACTGATACATTATTCCGACAGGGCACGAAGCGGGACATTCATTTCCCTTTGCGTTACTGTTGGTCAGTCGTTCGAGTCCAGCTTGAAAGCAAAAGATCAGAGCAGTGGACAGGGGCATGATATTCTTGCGGCGCAGCAGCAAGTCTACAGACAGAGCATCCGTTACTTCCCGACGTTATGCAATGGACGCATACGAAAAAAGTTGTCATTGTGTATTATCATAGCATTATGTTTCGTAGACTTGATGCCCTCGGTCTAAAATGAATGCTTCGCAACTGGCGAGTCGGTCATAAACATGATTCTCTTACCTCCCGTCTCTTGACTTCGTAAAACATATCTGCAGTTTCTAATCCCGTATCATGTGCATCATGCAAAAGGGGACTTGGACTTGCCCATCGGCTGCAGTCCGAAAATGTCATCGGACTTGACTGGCTTGCCCTGATCCTCCGACTCCTCGGCAACGACCTCGCCGAACAGGAACGCATTGCGCTCTCTGCTGATGTTGCCGGACGGCCGCTTGCGGTGGCTGCCCCCTGAAGTCGCCTTTGGTAGTTTCGGTGGTGTGCCTGAGTGAGCCGACTGGTCTGGTTCGAGCATCCAGGAGAAAGAAGATTGTGCAAGGGTTGACCGTGTTGGGATAGGGGGCTGAGGTCTTTGGACCTTTGGCGACGTAGTGCCAGACGCCGGTCTCGATATATGGACAGATGGAGTTTCTGACAGATGTCCCGCAGGTTCATCTGGGATGACATCCATCGCGTCGGGCAAAATTGGTTCTGGGTCTGCTGACTTGGGTCTCTTGTGTTCCGCCAAGGATAAAGTCGAGATGACATCCGTGACGCCCTCAGTTGCAACAGTGCCTCCGAGGACAGCACTATCATCGGGGCCTATGTCCATTGGAACGTCCTCTTGTTCTCCGGGTGGCGGACTTGTAATGTTCTCCAAGTCTGGAACCTCGATAGTCGAGTCCTCAAGATAGACCTTTACAAACTGTACCTTGGCCGCGGCCACTTCGACAAGTTCAAGGGTCTTAACCTTGTCATCCAAGCCGGACGTGGCCAAGGATCTCAGACTAGACACCGTTTCGTCTAGCATGTTCGCCAGTAACTTATTTCTCTTTTCCAAGGCGGAAATGGCTTGTGCCGCCGACTCATCGTTGAGTAGCTGCTTGGCCATGTGAGGAGTATAGCGCACTTCGTTGAGACCCTGCATGTTACGCTTGATTTCGCCCATCGCATCACGCACGGCCTGATTGATACCAAGCTTCTCTCCCCTCTCCAGCATCCCCTTGGCGGCACCTTGGAACAGAGCCTCCATGCCGCCCTGCTGCTGAAGGAACTTCGTGGCTGATGGTATGGGGGAATGGGGTCCTTTGGTCCGATGCCTGAAAGAAGAAAACGCTTGGCCCATCGGCGTCGAAGGTCGGGAGCTGCTGGCGGATGGTGTTGTGCTTGGCATCTTGCCCGTATACTTCAGGATGAGCGACGCCCCTCCAGACGTGTTCAAGTGGGTTCTGAGATAAACTGCATCGTCTACAAATGTGTGCGGGCCATGCGGGGCCTCAGGTGCTGGGTACTTCAGGAGCAATTGCAAACAAACAGAATAATCTGCTTCGAGTACTGTGAAATGTCAGCGGGGACGGTGAAGCCTGTAATGAGAAAACTCACAACTCCATCGGATTCTAATTAGCATGGCGACGCAAATGAGATCTATCAAGTTGAGTGATGGATCGACCGCAAACATGGTGTCCCAAAGCACGAGAAACTGGTCAAAGGGGAACTCGCGCCCGAACAGAAGGCGAATCCACCGGCTGGGACGTTGCTGTCAGTAACCCAACCGACAATATCGCCACACAGCACTCACATGAGAAAGATCTGAGGAAGAATCTCTATATCTTTGAGGTGATTCGCCAACTCTGGGTCAACTTTGGCCAAGCACACCTCGTGGATATGCTTGCTCTTCTCAACGATTGCCGAAGATTCCGCCCGATCTCTCGATGCGGACGCGAGCGCCGCTTTGGAAATGGAGTCTTTCACCTCATAGAACCCCTTAGCCTTCTCCATGATCTTCGAGAACATCGCAAAGGCATCGTGCTCTACGTACGCCGCATCGAGCACGTTCAACATCGTTCCATCGACCGCATCGCCGTTTGACAAGACGGCTTCACGATCAATCGCGTCTTGGTTGAGAACATGGGCGATCGGAGCCAATAATTCGTGCATGCCCTGGCGGTAGCCACCGCTGTTTGGATGTAGCTTGCAGTACACGAAAAGCGCGTCGATGATCATCACCTGAGTTCGCTCTTCCTGATAGAACGGTTCGTCTGGTAGGCGACGGACATCCTGCGCGATTTCTGCCCGAATGATCTCATCTTGTCGAACAGTATTCCACGGGGACTGGGAGACTTATGAGCTTTACGAGAGTAAGAGACGATGTCTTGGCAGGACTAACCTTTGGATCGTCGGTCAAAGGGTCTACGGCTACCTTGGCCAATTCCTCGGGATGTTTGATGAATTTCAGAAAATGATCGCGTTGCTGAGCATAGTAACTTCGTGATTCAGAGGTGTATTGAGACCACTCTGCGGTTTCGGTCGTCTGAAAAAGCAGAAAAGTCTAATAGCAGATCATGTCAGCAAGAGTTCACATGAGATGGGCCGCACGGAATTCACACTGACCTTCCAACAAACGGATCTACAACCCGATATACATGGACTCGATGGGCCATTGTACTTGACAGCGCGCTGCAAGTCAGGCAGAAGTGCAGCGTATTTCAACGTCTCTGCCCATCGCGTCCTGGAGATGGGATTAGTCGGTGACGATGATGTCAGGCTTGTTGTGATGATATGACGCGCGCACTTACTGGGCCTCGTCGAGAGTTCTCATCATGCACCGCTGGCCGACTGAACTCGGAAATGTATTGATTGATGAAGTTCAGAAGCAACGGGACTTACATCCCAGATCCCGCTTCAGCGCACTCTCCAAGAACCTCGAGCGATAGGCGTGAATTGTCGATGAAATGGAATGTAGTTAGTAAGGGTGGCTGGTGACCAACTAGCTCACTACGCCGAAGCTTGGGCCAAGTCAAGGTACCCGAGTGTGTAATGTCACAATTCAGTGTTCCTCGCTCCAAAGAGGGGCAGTTGGCAAGGGTCGCCTGCCGAAGTGGGTTAGTGGGGCCCTCTCAGTTCTCCGACCGCCTGCCCAATAAAAATAACCCCGCGATAAGTCATGTCACTGCCGGCGAATTTTCGTTCAGAAATTTTCGAAAATAGTTATTCACGATCAGTTGTCTCGATAGTCATCCATTCTCTCGCGACGAAAATTTGAGGATAGCTTACTTCGACCAATATCTCATATCCAGCACTTACAAAGTCGCCAAAATGTCCGCCTACGACACCTACAAGGCACGCCTACCCCTCCAAAATTACCCCACCATCGCTAACCCGTTCAGACGCCCCTTGACTCCAGGTATGCCAGCAAGGAGATCAAGGAGATTTTCGGTGCTAGAAACCGTCATTCAACCTGGCGCCAGCTGTGGTACTGGCTCGCTCAGGCCGAGAAGGAGACCGGCGTTGAGGGCATCAGCGACGAGGCACTGGCTCAGATGGCCGAGCACTTGACCGTTACGGATGAAGACTTTGAGGTTGCTTCCGTTGAAGAGAAGATTAGACGGCATGACGTGGTGAGTTTGAGAGCTAATACCTATGGTGACTGTCCAAACGATGTACTGACACTTTCCTAGATGGCCCGTGAGTGGAAGAATTCAATACATCAATCACAGCTCAAGTTGACGCGGTGCTTATAACAGACGTCCACGCCTTTGGAAAGGTCGCACCTGCTGCTGCCGGAATCATCCACTACGGCGCAACCTCCTGTGAGTGAAGATTGCTACTCGTGATTGAAATTCTGCCACTGACAAGATATATCTTAGGCTACGTGACCGTATGCCCCTCATTGCTATACCTATGGTCGCAGCCAACTAACAAAGGACGTCTAGGACAATGCTGAGTTGATTCTGATGAGGTACGCCTCTGTCGCAACAAGTATTGGAAGATGCTGGCTGATATTTCGCTAGAGATGCCATGGATCTTCTGTTGCCCAAGCTCGCCAAGGTCATCAAGAACCTCTCTACCTTCGCTCTTGAATACAAGGAGTAAGTTAACACCCTGGATTCTGGAGGCTGCAAACGCAATGAAGATGCCCAAACATCTCTTGCCTTGAGTTTCCGCCGTTGGGGAACTTGCTAAGAAGCTTCGCAGTCTCCCTACTCTTGGATACACCCACTACCAACCCGCCCAGCTGAGTACTGAACCCCTGAATCTGGAAACCCTAAGTTAGCTCTTGTTTTGATACAATAACTGACATTCTATTAAAGTTACCGTCGGTCGCAGAGCATGCCAGTGGATTCAGGACTTGGTCTGTACATGCCGTTTTCAAAGCGAAGCTACCAGGAACTAATCAACCTTCCAGACCAGAGATCTTAAGAACATTGAGACCCAGCGCAAGGAGCTCCGATTCCGCGGTGCTATGGGAACCACTGGAACCCAGGCCAGCTTCATGGAGATTTACCAGGGCGACGGCTCTGCGATTGATAAGCTCAACGATCTGCTTTGCCAGAAAGCCGGCTTCCCTTCTACATACGACATCAGCGTCCAGACTTACAGCCGAAAGGTGGATCTGGACATCGCCAACGCCATTTGCGGCCTGGGTGCGACGGCCATACACATGACTTCCGACCTCCGTCATTTGGCTACAATGAAAGAGATTGAAGAGCCCTTCGAGGCCGGACAGATTGGATCATCAGCGATGGCGTAAGTACCCCCCTCAGAGCCCCAAGGACATGGTCTTCAACCCACAATTGCGGCACCAGATCTAATGCAATTCACACAGGTACAAGCGAAACCCTATGAGAAGTGAACGAGGTTGGGAGCCCCATGTTTTTTGCGAAGTTTTCATAAACTTGTCATCTGCGAAACATCGAGTTCAATGTCGATGTCTTTGTGATGTCTTTGTGATGTCTTTGTGTGTCCCCACTCTTATTGACCAATAGGATAACAGCATTCATCCTCAGCCTTAAAGTAGCGACATCACAGTTGCCATGTGTAGCTAGGTGGTTGTGCTGTATCAGGCTGAGAATTACTGCTCTTATTCTTCTGGTTGATTGAAGACGGGTAGAGATTGGTCACGATCTATCGTACAGTATGGCTAACTATTTGTAGTCTGCTCTCTCGCTCGCAAGCTCCGCAGTCTGCCCAACAACTTCACCGATACGTACTCTGACCAATGGTTCGAACGAAGGTACGATCTGTCAACTCTGTCGTTTCACACGGACAGACATACTGACAGTCAAACAGCTTGGACGACAGTGCCATCAGGCGAATTGACATCCCTGGTATGTAGGAACTGTGTAGCGAGCATAACTGGACGCTGCGATGAGCTAGGCTGACATAGCAAAAGAGATGTTCCTCCTTGCTGATGCCATCCTTTTGGCTTTGGACAACGTCACCTCCGGCATGGTAAGCCCATCAAACAAGCAACCTCTCAATGCTGTTGCTGAAGAAGTTTAGGTTGTTTATCCCAAGCGCATTCATGCTCACGTTATGGAAGAGTTGCCTTTCATGGCCACAGAGGTATGTTTATATATGCGGTTTCTGTTTTTTGGTCTCGACCAGCCTCTATAACCGCATCGCGAGATTCTGAAACCTACGACGGTTGTTTTCGGTTGAACGGGGGGCCCCTTGGCATACCGTGAACCAGCTATCGATAGGAGCAGACTCCGGCCATGGATGAAGATCACGTTCTCTTCGAAAGATCTCTGCAGGCCACATCACTAATCAGGTCCAGAACATCATCATGAAGATTGTTGCCAAGGGCGGTTCTCGCCAGGACGCCCACGAGGAGATCCGCGTTCTCTCCCACCAGGCCAGCGACGTCGTCAAGAAGCAGGGTGGCAAGAACGACTTGATTGAGCGCATCCGCGCAACCGAGTACTTCAAGCCTGTCTGGGACGACCTCGACAACCTGCTTGACCCCACTCTGTTCATCGGACGCTGCCCCGAGATCGTCCAGCGCTACTGCGGCGAGGGAAGCCCCGTTGAGCAGGCCATTGCCCCGTACGCTGAGTACATCAGCAAGTCCGGCGCCGCTCAGCTCAACGTCTAGACAGGAGCCTTGCCTGTTCCCTTCACTGCGGGCTAGGCCCGTTTGGACTCGGGAGACGGGGAGAACTGGGTTGGTTTCACGGATGAAAAGTTACGTCGACGCGCGATAGGTCGGGCTTGGGTAAAGGCTTTGGCAAAAAGGAAGGCATGTCTTCCATTAAAAAGTCCATGGATTTCATATCGGTAGCAAAGCCCCAAATTGCATTGCACTCTGATTATCACAACTTGCGTAAAGCATGTGCGTGGGCATCTTGCCAGACTGCCCGTAACGATTAAGCAAAGCGGTTCCCACCGCCTCAAAAATGAGAAGAAGAAAATACAAGAGAATCCGACTCCCGTGGCTCCTCCGCCCGCCACTCAACGCCTATGTGGGTTTCTTGATACTCGCACAGTCAATCGCACCCAGCGTGTTCTTGGTCGCATCATACCAAGCCGAGTGGACCTTTCCCTTGTTGCATCCCAAGTCGACGTTGAAGATCCACAGCATCTCCGTCGGCCCGTTGGCTTCGCACTTGGGCTTCGACACCGTGCAGCTCCCCTTGAACTGCTTCAGCTCCTTCCACAGTCTGTCGCAGACCCACGGCACGTCCTCGCCCTCCTTCAGGTCCTTCACCACGATGGAATATCGGCGATATAGTGGGATGTCGAACCACTTGGTGATGGGAATGCCTCCCTTCCAGCGGCTGCATGAGGCCGAGGGTCCTTTGTCGGCTGCTTCTATCGGCTCTGCAAGGGAGAGGCAGAGAGCGAGAAGAAGGGTTTGTGTGGTTGGAAACTTCATGACGTGATGTAAGAGCTGGTCGAGGATGGTTTGGTTGTTTTGTAACGAGTGGAAGAGTCTGTGTGGGCAACGACTGTAAAAGGACCTGGTATTCCCATAAAAGAAAATAGCAAAACTTAAAAGGAGCAAGGGGAGCTTGATGGGCGCGTCAGGGCTTGCGTCCGCCACGAATGACTGCGTATTGCTACAGAGGAAAGGAATGAGACACATATCGGTGATGATATGATTCTGGATCCTTATATATACAAGCAGAACTGGGCTTGGCGACATACCGCAGGATATGTCGGGAAGTAGAGACAAAGACCAGTGTCAAAAGTCTGGTGCAACAACCCATTCAGAATCAAGGGACAATTATATGTTGGTTCCACGAGGCAAACATCCGACCTCGAAGAACATATCACGATACTGTCGTCCACAACACTTACCCTTGCCAGACTTTCTAATGATCCCCTTTCGGCCGGTTTCCGGCGGTACGACAACAGGCTTCAAAAACTGCTCAGTCCACACCGCACCGCTTTCTTCCTCTCTCGAAGTGAGGTTTACTTGTGAGATCTTGGCCCAAACCAACATTATGTCGCACACGAAACGGTTACCGGAAGGGAAATCTTGGTGTTATCGGCACGTTGCGCAATGCCTTGTTGGACATCGAGAAAAGAAGACTTCCGCGTTGATGCTTTCTTCCAACTACATGGACAAGTTCGTCCCTCAATGGCCAACACCGGGAAATGACCCTCTCTGATTGCAACTCAACTTTTCCACGTCCGGTTCTGATACTCTTTATCAGATAATCTTTCATTCCTAAAAAGTGCGGCGGTGTTGTTAGAGATTCGTGATACGAAAGGAATACATCGATTCCACAAATGACTTGCCACATACTGCCATTCCTAGAGTTTCGATCCAAATTGTGTGCTCAACTGGAAGAGCTCACAACCCCGATCGCGATAATTCCAGTATAACAGCCTGTAGTATTTGGCCCAGCCTTCGCTTCATTAACAACATCGCCAGACTTGACGTAGATGGGCTCGGAAAAATCTGTCTGCTCTCCACAAACGCGGAAAGACCACGTTCACCAACCCAACATGCCAAGGCAACACTGTGATCGACACGAAAAGTGCACCGCTTATTTCAGCTCATTCAGTCTACAACAAATTGAAACAGGTACCAGACTCATGACATAGATAGTATAAAACAAGTCCTAAACAAATCCAAATACATTCCCAGAATATCTTGTCGCTTTTACTGGGGTTCGTGGTCGTGGGTTCGCTCGTCTTGATGACTCCAGGTCATGGACTCCTCCCGGGGCTTATTCCCCCGTTCGTTAAATTTTTGCTACCGAATTGTATGAATAAAAACCAGAGTTGAGTTTATATTCTTTTACACGAGTAACATATCTTGGTTGATCCCAGCAGCTTGCTGGGCTCGGTGTACTCGGTGAACACAAGTGACGTCTCCCCCTCAGCTCACCGAGACAAGCAGGGGGATCCGATGCTGAGACCTCCCGTGTTCCCCGCCAAACCCCACCATCACCACCACCACCTCTTCAGAGGTCTCCAACTCTCCGAACCGCGCGCCTCACCTCCCACCCTCACCCTCGCCGACTGACCAACTCCCAATCTCTCCATCTCTCCCGCCGGCCCATCGCGCAAACCGACCGACGACAACCGACGCAAAATCCGAACAAAAAAACCAGAACGGGCGACCAAGATGAACCACATAACCTCCCCCAACGAACCCTTCCCGACCCCGGCGTCCCTCGCCGCCGCGACGACCTCGCACACCCAGTCCAACTTCCGCGTCTCGACCCGCAAGCTGCCCATCTCCAAGGCCGGCCCCATCGACGAGATGACGGCCTCCCTCGGCATCCCCGTCCCCGAGATGATCTTCGGCGACAACCTCGTCGCCATCGAGCACGTCCCCACCGGCTGGTCCATCTCCTTCAACGCCTACGACGCCCTCGACGGCGTCGACAAGACGGACAAGAAGATGCTCAAGGTCGCCTACGCCAAGGACTGGTCCTCGTCGCGCGAGAAGACGAGCGCCGGCATCAAGGAGGTCGTCAAGCCCTACGACTGGTCCTACTCGACCGAGTACCGCGGCACGCTGAAGCAGGACGAGGCTGGAAAGAAGCTGGAGGACACGCAGACGCGGGAGATCCCGCTCGAGCTGCTGAAGCGGCGCGACCCGATCCTCTTCTTCGACGAGGTGGTGCTCTTCGAGAGCGAGCTCGATGATAACGGCATCTCCATCGTGAGCGTCAAGGTGCGCGTGCACGAAAAGAGGATGCTCCTGCTGTGCCGGCTCTTCATGCGGCTCGACAACGTGATCGTGCGCATCCGCGACACCAGGGTCTACGTGGACTTCGAGACGGACGAGGTTATCCGGGAGTACACAGCCAAGGAGGACAGCTTTGACAGTGTCAAGAGGGTAAGTTGCTACTTGCGTTTTCCTGTGTGTTCCAATCTTTCACGAGCGTCGCTGACGGGGAGATACAGTCACTGTTCATGGAGGGCCGGTTGCCGGACGACATTACCATTGCGCTTCGCGATCCGAACTTGCTTATGAACCTCCTTCCCACCGTCGAGCGACAGGTTCAGACTGTCTCATTCAAGCAATAAGGTCTCTTTCCGTTTTTATTACATCTGGTGTCCCTCACGAGGGATTGGCGTTTCGGGATACGGGATGGATTTGGCGTTACGGGCTTCCAAAAGTAGGTATGACGATACCACAACAATGAAACAGTGAGAAGGGCTAGCAGACGACGCCACCGAGATGTGCGAATAATAACTGTTAGCTCTGTATTCCGAATTGACTGCAATTCCTCCTCCGATACGAAAGTGTTCGTCAACGCCAACCTCCTGCGAAACAACGATGCAAAGTGTAAGCTACGAACTAGACGGGAGAACCCAGTTTGCCAACGCGAGCAACTCCTCGATTTCATAAACATCACATGAAACTCCCTTTTCCTGAGCAGTCCGCGTTTCTCCTTTTGTCCCAAGGCGAAGAGAAAAAATCATAAACATCCCAAACAATCGCTGCCTTTTCGCCTTTACCGACCGTCACGATTAGGCGAGGAACCCTCTGTGACTTCCTCGAATTCCAGCTCCCAACGATCAACTTCCTTGAACTTGCTGGCGGCCTTTTTGAGCTCCTCAGCATCGAGAGTTGGGTCCTGTTCCTCCTCGACATCGAGGGTCTCGTCCTCCGCCGGGGCAAAGCTCTCCTCAGCCTCACCGGCAGCCGCAGCTCCTTCATCATCGTCTTCGACCTGGTTCTCTTTGTCCGAGAGGCGGCGACTATAGGTGCGAGCCGAAGGACGATTGCTTCTTGACGTAGTTCTGGGCTTGGGGGCTGGCTGAGCTGTCTTGCCGCCTCGAGAGGGCGGCCTATTGGCCGTGCTGCGGTTGAGCGGCGTCGTCTTTGCCCGCCGTGAGCGGGTACGTGTGTCGGTATAAGAGAGCTCATCGTCGTCTTGGGCAAGGTTTGATGTGTCGACCTCCTCGTCAGACTCCTCCATGTCGAACGCATCTCGGTTCTTCTTGCGGCGTCTTTGAGGGAGCATACCTGTCAAGTCTGCCGTCGTCACCTTCTTTTGCTTCTGCTGCTGCTTCTTCTGGGCGTTTTTGCGGGTTGCGGGAAAGTTGGGCGAATGAGTAAGAGACGGCGGTGAAGAAGCGTCAGAGATATTGCCATCTCGGTTGGGAGTTGTTAGCGAGACACGACGGCGGCGTTGCTTTGCAAGGGTGTGAATATCGGGCCATGCGTCGTTATCCTCTGAACTACTGCTCTCGGGTGGCGCCATAATCTCATCCTGATTTGGTGTGACAGGTCGCGGCATATTTGACACCCGCGGAGGAGTCATCACCGGCGACGGCAGATCGGACAACGAGGAGTCGCTGTCATCCTCGACAAGCTCGGGCTCAGGCTCTGTTCGCGAAGCCTTTCCGGGGCGCTCGTCACCATCGTGTCTCTCCACGCTTTTGCGCTTGCGAGATTTGACGCTAGACGTAGCTTCGGCCTCCCTCTCGGGCTGTGAATCCGGCGCCAAGATCTGTTGAGAGTCGGTAACCGGTTCGGCCTCAGACTCGGAGGTGGGTTCAACCGCGGGAGGCGGCTGCGTTCTGCGCCGATTGTTGATCGGCGTCGACTCAGCCTCTGGGTTGAAATCATCTTCGTCTTCGTCTCCAGATCCCGGTTCCGAAGATGGCTCAAGCGGGCGCTGGGCACGCTCTTTCTGCGCGGTACCCAGAATACTCGGCTCTCTCTGACGGCGCCTGAAGTTGCCAATGTTGAACATGGAACTGATACCGGGGGTGCTGATTCCGCGACTGCTGGGCCTGATCGGGGCGTCGTCCTTGTTGATGCTGATGCTCGGCGCGCGGCCCCGACGCCTAAAGTTACTAACACTAAAGGTCGAGGTGTCGGAGCGAGGCGCGCTCGGCGGTGCGGCAGCCGCATCGTCATCGTCGTCCAGCGTGGTGTCGAGTCCGAACAAGTCGTCGTCCATATCCAGGCCTGAAGTATCTCTTCGTTGCTTGGCCGGTGTCGCGCGCGTCTTCCTTCCCGCCTCAACTGAAGATTCGGACTTTTGTTGATCGCTCGTCTGCTTTCCCTCCGGGTTCTTGGCAGATTCTGCATCGTCGCCTGATGCGCCTTCAACCTCGTTCTGCGCCTGCCTCGTGCGCAGACTGGTGCTCCTGCTCATGCGCTTGCTCGTCGCCTCCTCATGTTCCTTCCTGATGACCGAACGTTCGCGATCGCTGTGACTGTAAATATCGCTGCCCGAGGCAGGCGCGGGACTCGATTTGTCCTCTGCCACAGCGGCAGCTACGGCGGCCACAGCTTGGGCAGGTGCGCGACGCGTTCTTTTTGGGCGCGGCATGCTTTCTCTGGTTGGTTTGTTGATGCCGGAAACAATGTTTCGATTAATATGGGAAGTTGTATGTTGATATCGTCGGCGAGGAGGTTGCGTTCGCGATTATCGGGGCTGCGGCTGAGGATGCGACGGGAATGGGGGAGGGCCGTGAAGGGTATTTTGATGTGTTGAGGCGGGACGCGTCGCGAACCTTCCAGGGTGCTCAAGTCCACGGACGGCCCTGCCTGCGGAGACCCACTCGACCTGGAGGTCCCAGCACGATCGGCCCCGCCCAGAACAGAGCTAGCGCCACAGCACAAGCCACAATTTTCAACATCACGCCGCGATTTTGTACCAGATGCAAGACCATTTCCATCTTGCAAGGTAGAATGACTCCGAGAATGTAGAAAGTTATTTCTCAAGGTGTTGCATGATACGGATTCTTTTCTTCTTTTCTAGCGTTTTTTCCTTCTACCCTTTTCTCGCAACACGGGATCCCCTTACCTTCTCTCATCCAAGACAAGGCAGTCTGAGCGTTTGGGAGAGTGACATGTTTGATTTTGAAGTCGACACTTTGACGTCTATCGGAAGCCCTTCCAAGTCTATCTAAGATATACAGTCCATATTTCCATCACTTGATCTTCTTTTTGGTATAAATATTGTTCTTACATGGTATTGTACAGTCCTTGTCGTTGCAGCATGAATCGCATTAGATGAGAGCTTGTCCCATGAACATACTCTCCTTAACCTCCTTGACCACATCCCTCTTGTCATCCTTTCCAACGAGCACAATACCTCTGCCACGACGTCCCATGCGGCCAGCACGTCCCAGGCGGTGGATGAAATCGATTGTTGTGTGCGGAACATCGTAGAGGATGACGTGGCGAACAGCCAGCGTGTCAATACCTCTAGATGCCAAATCGGTGGCGACAATGACCTTCGTGTTGGGAAGGGATCTCTTGCCCTGGCCCAGAGTCGGTGCTGCGACAGACCGCAAGGGCTCTGATGAGGTGAACGTGGCAAGCATATCAGACTGACGCATATCCTCCGTGTCTCTGTTCAATGCAACAGCATCGATTCCCTTGGAGCGCAAGTACTCGGCAACCTCCGCTGTCTTTTCGCGCTCGTTGACGAAAACCATAATACGGCGAACATCGATCTCTCCGTCAACAGGGCCTTCGTGCTTGGACGCCTCGCGGCCGATAGTGTAGATGGCGTCAGCGCATGCGAGGTTCTTGTTGTTGCGGTAGGGGTCCTTGACAACGTCGATGACACCGAGCTGTACACGACGAGGAATGGCATGCAGGTTTGGCGTCGTAATCCGGGTCATTGCAGGGAAGTTGTTTGCAAGGTAGTTGTCGAGTCTCTTGGGAATGGTTGCAGAGCAGAGAACAAATTGCTTCAGTGATGGCATGGCCCTCTCGATGATGGTTGTGGTGACAGGGGCAAAACTTCGGTCAAACAAAGAGTCCGCCTCGTCAACAACCAGGTGGGTGACCCGGGAGAGGATGTTAGGGTCTGATTCTGCGATCGAAGCAAGCAGATGAGGCGTCGCGATGACAACATCAACTCCGCGAGGCGAGTAGAGGTTGCGCTGAATCTGCAGGGCATTCAGAGTTGACGACAGCTTCTCCGACTTGAATTTGACCGCGTGCGACAGGGTCCTGGCGACGCGGCCAACCTGGTCGACAAGCTCAGCCGAGGGCACCAGGATGACGACACGGGGTCTCGCCATGGTTGGGTGAGGCTCGTCGAACGTAGACATCTTCTTGGATTTGGACGCCTTTTCCCTGGCCTTCTCCTCCTCGAACCTCTGCTTGTACGCTTGGAATTCCGGGTCCTGCTCTTCGGCGATCTTCATGGCGTTGACAGCTGGTAAAAGGTATGCGAGCGTCTTGCCGGAACCCGTCTCAGCGGCGAGCAGGAAGTCTTGCCTCTTTACGCCTCTGACCTTGAAGGCACTAGACTGGCCAAGCATGGCCGGAATAGCGAGCCTTTGCACGGCCGTCGGCTTTATGTCAACCATCCCTCTCAAGAGATCCTCGTTGATAGCGGTCTTGATGGAGGGGATAAGGTCGAACTGGTCAAACGACTCGTATTCCTGCATCTTGTCCTTCAAATGATTTCTCTTTCCATATGATACACCAGCTAAAGCCCGCTGCATCTTCAGGGCCTTTCTCGAGTCGGTCGAAGTGTCGGAGTCGCCCCTGCGAGACCTGCTTGGGGTTGAGTTTGAATTTGTCGGGCGCGGCCCGCGTCGCGCATGCACGGGAATCCTCGCAACCGTCTGATTCATGCCTCCGAAAGGGCCCTGGACAACACGCCGCGGCGACCTACCCTCTCGGGGCTGCGAGACGGTGTCGGAGAGAACCATTCGCGAGGGCGTCTTCGCCTTCGCGGCGGCGTGATAGCTGGCGCTCTGCGTAAGCCATGGTGAAGGTGTCAGTCGGGGGAACGTATGCGGGCGGAGTGATAATTGGCATCGAAGGCATGGCGATGCCAGAGTTCGTGGCGGCATCGTGGGCGTTTTGTGATGGGGTTGGTGATGAAGGAAGCTAAACACCCCTGGTTGGCGACTGGAAATTTCAGAGCCGACTTTGAGATTTCTACGCTAAACCCCCACGTCGGCGTGGCCTAAGCTCCGTGCCGACCGCACTTGGCACCAGGTCCCGTCCCGTCAGGTCTGGGTCAGGGATTTGTCTGCTTTTCTTGAAGTTGCATTTCGTAAGTTTCTCTCGATGGTTGATTTTTGTATAACGAAGCCATTTCTCACATCGGAAGTAACATCCGCCTCACAGGATATGAATCCGAAGTCTTTACCTAGGACTCTTATCTAAGAAGTACAACCTAATGCTGCTCGTCGAATTGTCTACCCTATGCAAGTTTAGAAACATGATACGTCAATGTCATTGCCGCATGCGTTTCTTAGGAGAATGCTTTGCATCTTGTAGAAAGGCCGATAATAAATCGCCACGTGCCTCGAAGCATCTCCCTTCTAGAAGGGGGTGGCAGTTCAATGGAGAAACTCTGTAGGGCTGTCAATCATCCAATTGTCCCAGCGGAATCGCCGCTTGTCTTGGCCAAGGATCACCCGCATGCCATTGTGGCTGTGGCGCTCAGCAAGGAGTTATCCGAGCTTTTCAGGCCCATCTCCCGTCCCCATCTCGCCGTCACAACCGTCCACCGCCGCCATCCTAGCCCCGTGGGACCTCCCTTCATCATTCAGCCCCCGTCTGCCACTCTACACGAGGAGAGGGTCCCCTATTCCAATAAGGTCAGCTATCCGTATCCGTACCTGAAAACGGGCATCTAGCCTCCTTTGTCCCCATCGTCGCCCGACCGACGTCAACCCTTTTTTTCTTCTCTTCTCTCGCCGTTGCTTTCTTTTTTTTCTCTTCACCGTCGCTTCATACTCCACCATCAGGCAGGACTGAGTTCGACAACTGAGGAAAGTTCAGGAAGCATGTGCATACGGAGGTGACGAAACCGAAGCAATGAGCGCCGACCTCTTGGACCTCTTCTCAAGCCCTCCTCCACCGCCGCCGCAACAGCAGCAACAACAGGGGGGCCAGTTTGGACAGCAGCTACAACCACCGCAACGACCTCAGCAGATCACAGCATCGTCGACCGATCTCTTTGACTTCGCCTCATTTTCCAGCAACAAGCCCGCCGCCCCGGCCCCGGTCCCGGTCCCGGCTCAGCAGACGCAAACTCAGACTCAGGCTCAGACGGAGCCATGGCCGGATTTTCAGGCCCAGCAACCAAGTGGTGCTGGTGGCAGTAGTAACGGGGGATGGGGCGACTTCAGCGCATTTTCAGATGGGTTTTCTTCTTCGACGCCCACGCAGCAGAAATCGCAGCCGCAGAAGCAGACTCAGCAGAACACAGACGACGATGATGACTTCGGCGACTTTGAAATTGCGGAGCCCACGCCCACGCAGAGGTCCTTTGTTCTACCACCTCAAACGAACAAGGCGCGGGCTTCTCCTCCCCCGAGGGCTCGCATTGCCCGAGCATCAACGTTCGACCTTATGTCGAACAACTTGATCGATGTTATCGACATGCCCCTGGGTTCCGGCTTGTCACCGATCCCGAGCCCGGGTCTTCCCACAAGCCCCGGTCTATCGGCGCAGCAACCTAACCGACAACCAAGCCCGGGTAACTGGAAATCGGGTCCGCTCAAGCCACCCGTTAGCCCGGGTCTTACGGCACAGAGGGGGCCGTCGCCGAAACCGCAGCCGAGCCCTAGACTCCGTGGTCAGATGCCTGACGTATCAAGAAAGACGACTCCTAAGCCAACGCCTAAGGCCGAGTCTAACATTCTCTTTGACGCGGAGGAATTTGAGCTCCAGGGCGGCAATGACGACGACGATGACGATGAATTTGGTGACTTCGAGACAGTACAAACCCCGTTCCCCGGCGACAGCGCCAGTCCGACTCTAGAATCGAACCACTCAAAGCAGAAGAAGCAGCCACAGCAACAACAGCAATCTCAGCCAGCATCCATGGATCTGCTATCCCTTGACGACGATCCTATGCCTATTTCTCAGCCTCAACCGAAGAGGCCTCAGTTGTCATCTCTGAATCTCAACGCTCCAACTTCGCCATACCCTCAGGCACCAAAAAGTCCGTCTTTCCAAGAACGCAACCCCTTCCCAGGCCTAGGACTCACCACGCCAACAAACACAGATTTCAAAACAGAAGAGAAGAATGACAAGTCTCCCACGCCCATCACCGCCTGGCCAAGCTTTGGGCAAACTTCACCTGACAAGCCGTCTACCGCCGTCAAGAAGTCCACTACTACTGCTGCTGCTAAGAAGCCCCAGGTGCCTCAGGTCGCGGAGGATCCCTGGGGTGACTTCGAGGACTTCGCGGATGATGAGCCCTCGGCCATCGACTCCAGCAAGCCCCCCGAAAGCTGGGACTGGGACGCCGTCGATAATGTGAAGCCGGCGCCGAAGCCCGCAGCAGCACCGGCAAAGGCCGCCACTCAGACAATGGGAAACCTGCTAGGGGACCCGGAACCAACGCCAGAAACCCGCGACGACGCCCCGCCGCCCATCAACATCCCCCCTCCCTCCGTCCTCCTCTCCATCTTCCCACAGCTCCTCGAGACCGCCAACACGGCCCTCTTCAAGCCCCTGACCGGCCAGATGCCCCCGGTCAAGAAGAAGATCCTCTCCGACCCGGCCACGGTGACCTTCCTCAAGGGCTACCTCGCCCTCGCCGCCGTCGCCGCCCGCGTCATCGCCGGCCGCAAGCTGCGCTGGCACCGCGACAAGTTCCTCTCCCAGGGCATGGCCATCTCCGCGGCCGGCGCCAAGGGTATGAAGCTCGCGGGCGTGGATAAGGCGCAGGCGGCGCGCGAAGACCGCGAGGCGGCGGATGTGGTCGGTGTCTGGAAGGAGAACGTCGGGAGGCTGCGGTCCGCGGTGGTGACCGCCAACTCGGCCCTAAAGAACGAGCCTCACCTCCGCGTGCCGGAGCTGAGCGAGACGATCCCCGTGTCGACGGCCAAGGTCGTGCCTACCGCGCCCAAGGCTTGCATCATCTGCGGCCTGAAGCGAGACGAGCGCGCTAGCAAGGTCGACATCGACGTCGAGGACAGCTTTGGCGAGTGGTGGGTTGAGCACTGGGGACATAGGGCGTGCAAGAACTTCTGGGTCGAGCACGAGAAGCAGCTGCGGCAGAGGTGAAGCCGGCGGATATTTTATCTAAGAGCACTCCGTATATACTGGACATAAACGACATCTTGAGCGCCTTGTTTTGTACCGGTCGGGCGGCGTATTCGCAACTACAGACACCTAGTTTAAATCACAACAGACCATAGAATACCACTCCCTCTTATCTTTCAACTTTCTGACAAAACATGTTTGTCGAAAACCGTACATCGACGACTTACTCAACACGGGGAAAAGTATGCTGCTCTTTCCATGTGGCCCCTAGTCAGTCTCGACTGCCATTGACCAGCCCGGTTTATGTGTCGTTAGTCGCTTGATAACCTTGATTGACGTTATGCGCATCTCCCGCTCGTGTCGTCTATCGGACATCAGGGTATCCCGGTCGCGGCAGAGACAACTTGCAATGCGCCAGAACATTGGAACCCATCACATGACGAAGGATTCAGAGAGTGCGGCCAAGAAATGGAGGTGATTAGCTGCAAGTACCAAACGGCCCGCAGGCCTTTTCCGCAGGCCTTTTCTTGCAAATGAATTAGCGCGCGCGCAGCGCATTAGCGAAGCCACTACTGCAACAGAGCTACGAGAGGGTTGCTCGACGGATTATTTCCCCGTGGAATCGTTGACGGCACGAGTCGACCCCTCTTGCGGCGTTCTTTGACCGACCAATCCGGATTCTGGTAAAGGCCGCGTCGTTGGTGTGGTGTCCAATTGGGTTGAATCCAAGCAGAACCCAGAGGCAGAGAACTCCAGGGAACTAAAGACGACGGATGGCCGGAATAGCAGGGCGCTGGCTGCGGCATCGCGGTGACGGTCTAAAACGCGGTCCTCCTCAATGAGGTCGCTCTTGTGCGATGGGGCAGTCAGATCCGCGTAGTCCGGGGTTTGTTGAACTGCAGCATCGAGTTACACAGCATGCTGATCCATCTTTTCTGGCAGAAGCCAAGAAGACCGCCGCACTGAAGATGCCAGATATACTGCTAGCTGCTGGGATGTGTGTACGGGTTGAGCGGTCGCGGTACACACGGACAAGGGATTTCTGATATCAAATCCGGAGAGGGGTAGAGAGGCTGGATCTATCGGGACCGTTTCGCCAACGGTGACCCGGCCGGTCGGCGGATTAATAAGGGAAAATCTTTGGCGGGAGCCAAGCAATCAAATGGACACAGGCACGCCGCACCCGCGCGATTCGTACATATCGACGACGACGACATTGCAGGGTCGCCACGATGAGAGCGGAGCAAAAGCAACAGCGAAGAGCCCTTCCTGACCAGAGCGTCCTGCACCCTGGACTGGAGGTGGGAAGGAGCCGGGCAGCCACTGGAGCTTGGGACGCTCGATGGGCTCCAAGGTCGCCCGCAGCCCTACTTGGTGCGCCTGTGCCCTGAGGAGACATCTGTCATTGATAGATACGGCGTCAGACATGGCGCCAGACCTTCTCGTCGCGTGTCGCAAGTCTGGCGGTCGACACTAGTTCCATTGGTCCATCGTAATGGTTGCCGTATGTTATTCCGACGAGGCCGGGTCAGGGACGACAGATGCCGGGAGAAAGTAGCAATGCGCATTATGTTGAGAGATTCAACCTTGAAATGGAGGTCGATTCGAGACGGTCTGGAATGCTTCTTCCCTGTCGTTTGCCCTGGCGGGGATCAGTCCGAAGAGCTCCAGTACCCCAAGAGGCCGCCTAGGGACCTTCTCCAAAGTTTGCACCCCGCCCTGGACGAGGTGTAAGTGGTGTGAGAGAGTAGAGAGGACCGGAGGAAGACACTATGCTTCGGGGACGGCTATCACGGAGATGGTTGGTAGATGGCTTCGTAAAGAGGGTGCTGTCGCTGATTGTCGCCAGTGATTGAGTGTTTGGCGATTGTACGAGCATCGCAAACTGGAAATGAGGTGGATGCGGTTTGAGACCGCTTGTGCGCAGCTTTTGGTGTCTCGTCTCGTCTGGTAGTTTGCGAAATCTGAGAGAGTAAATGGGAGTCGCAGTCGCACTTGAGGGTCCGGTCCTGCTGCGAGCGAAGTACCTCATAATACCTACTGACGATGAATGGAAGGAAGCAGCATCAAGAGTCCCGGAGGGAAAGAGCCCAGACGCTGGGTGAGCTCCATGTCGCGTGGAGGGGTCCAAGACGAGGTACGCGCCGGGTACAGCTCGGGAAGCATGTGCAGGAGGGGCAGGATACTTGCGGTGATGATGGCCCTAGCGTCCTTCCAAGTATATTCACTCCAAACTTCGCGTTGGAGATACACGTGACCTCTTGTTGCAGGGTGGGTCCGCTAGTAGCCGCCGTTGGAGTCTTGAGGCGCATCCTGCCGCTGAATCACGTACCTGCCCCGTCTCCTCGTCCATATCAAGCCCTGCAGTCGACCCAGCTCCAGCAAGAAGCTCCCCCAATTCAACCCAGCGCAACCAACTTGCCGCCCACAGAGCTATCAACCACCAAGCTTTGGACACTAAAAAAGAGTACAAGACTTCTTGTACTTGAACACACCAACTGGTAAGTACCTTCCTCGCACACTTCTACCGCCAGAAAAAAACAACTCTGTCGCACTTTCCCTCACTCCTCACTGCGCTCTTGCAAATACCTACCGACTTTTTCTCCCCCCCCAAGTCTCTGCCCGCACTTCTTTTCGTCCTTCACCTCACTCTCCACGACCAACCTCATTTCTCCCCGGCCCCCAACTCTCTTCTTCACCTCTTCACCTCACCCAAACTCTTCCAACAAACACCCTCTCCTCCGACTACAACTTGTCTCTTCCCCTCCACACTCGCACCCTTCGACCTCCTCTCTCCATCCCACTCTTCTACTCTACTCTCTCCCATCTACACCTCACCCCTCCAAATCCCGACCTCTTTTCGCTCCACCTCCCACCTCACTACCCACTACCGCCCACCAAGCGCATCTGTCGCATCGCCTCCCGCCTCCCGACTTCAACCTTCGATCCTGACGGACTGATTCCTCAAGCACAGGCACTTCATTCGCCAAGTGTTGATCGAAAATCGGTTGCAAGTCAATTTTTACCTTGACCCAAACCAGTACCGATCCCGTCTGCTTGGTTGACGCAAGTCCGACCCGCGACTTCCTTCCTGATTGCTCAAGCGCAGGAAAAAAAATACCCAGGTAATTACTTAGCACCGCACAAAACCACCCCGCCTCCCATCACCATTACCACCACCACCACCACCACTTTTGCCCGGCAGTTGTTTTGGGTCTTCTGTCAGAACCTCACCCCGTACATCTTTGGCGACCTTGCACAGGTCACTGTCTCTGCTTGAGAGACTTTCCCGTATGCATGGTCTTTTTCTGCTATGTCCCTCGTTCCTTCCCAGAAATGGTTGGACCCCAAACTTCTACGAATTTCACATTTTCACATTTTCACAAGCGCGGATTGCCAACTGACCCTCTTTACTCCTTACCAACGCGTCATTTGAAAGATGAAATTAACTAACACCTGGTTTTAGTCCTCTCTAATAGCTACGCGACCGTCGCTAAGCTATCCTCCCAACCTCTACCTCACTCCCGATTCTCGAACCGCAACTCAGTCAACATGTCCGCAGTCCACGACATTCCTGCCAACGGCAATGATCTTGCTGGCTCAATGGAGCAGCTGAAGGTTGACGACGGAGAGCCTAGACTCGGCCCTGATGGCGAGCCTGCTCCCCGTACTGAAGAGGAGTACGCCGTTGCTCAGCTTACCCTCCGTGCCATTGTCTCTTCCAAGGAGGCTGGTGTCATCATTGGCAAGGCGGGCAAGAACGTCGCTGATCTCCGAGACGAGACTGGCGTCAAGGCCGGTGTCTCTAAGGTGGTCCAGGGTGTTCACGACCGGGTCCTTACCATCACCGGAGAAATCCAGGCTATCTCCAAGGCGTATGCTATCGTGGCCCAAGCTCTTCTGGAGGGCGCCCCCGCTATGGGCATGGGAGGTGTTGTCCAGAACAACGGTACTCACCGTAAGTCTTTTGTTTCCTATCTTTTCTTTCAAAAACTAATGCTAATACCTCGTTTCAGCCATCAAGCTGCTCATTTCCCACAACCAGATGGGCACCATCATTGGCCGTCAGGGCCTGAAGATCAAGCACATCCAGGATGTATCTGGTGTCCGCATGGTTGCTCAGAAAGAAATGCTTCCTCAGTCCACTGAGCGGATCGTCGAGGTCCAAGGCACTCCCGAGGGTATCAAGGCTGCCGTTTGGGAGATTTGCAAGTGTCTCGTCGACGACTGGCAGCGTGGTACCGGCACTGTTCTCTACAACCCCGTCGTCCGAACTCAGCCTGGCACCACCACTACTGCGGGTGGAAGTGGTAGCTACTCCTCCTCCGGCGGTGGTCGCTCCTCTGAATACACCAGCCCTCGTGTCATGAGAACCGGCAACGGCGCTGACTTCAGCAACGGTGCTACCCGCCCCTACGGCCGCCGCTCCGACTCCGACGCTGCTTCCCGTGGCCCCCCCACTCATGACGAGAATGGAGAGGAAATTCAGACCCAGAACATTTCCATCCCTGCCGACATGGTTGGCTGCATCATTGGCCGAGCTGGAAGCAAGATCAGCGAGATTCGCAAGACTTCTGGTGCCCGTATCTCTATCGCCAAGGTAAGAAACCTTTTGTATCAATTGTTGGAATTGTACTAACGGATCACTGCTAGGCGCCCCACGATGAGACCGGTGAGCGGATGTTCACCATCATGGGCACGGCCAAGGCCAACGAGTCTGCTCTCTTCCTCCTGTACGAGAACCTCGAGGCGGAGAAGATGAGACGCTCTCAGGCCCCTCCTTCCGAGTAAAGGAGATAGCCATTCCCAATTCTTTTTCAGTTCGTCATCTCCGTTCCTACAATGGACTTGCAGACATCAGCCGCAAGGCTCTGGGACAGTTCTTCCAACGGCTGTCTTTTGGTCAGGGACTCGAAAAATTCGTTTTTTTTTGCTCCACTTCCCGAACAATTTTTCTTTTTTTGGGCCGGCGAATAGCCCTGGCATGAGAGAAGCACTACGAGGGTACCGGCAGGTTGCGGCCCCAGGTATCAGTTTTTCAAAGTTGCAGTCGTCTGTGCGACACATTTGCTCATTTTGGAGGAAGGGTTTTCCGGTCAACGTTTGGGCAGGCAAAAAGACATCCTCGGGTCTGCGGATCAGGATGTTTGTATGAACCTTAACGAACATATGGCAGGTGGCTATCGTCTTGACGTCTCAAGACGGTTGCTATTCATGATTCACGATCCGGGATACCTCTTAGAAGCCATGGCTTCGACAGAACATTAATAATGATTATCGGCCATCGACATCACATCAATGCACACCAACCCCTCTATCTTTTTCTCCGATTCACACCCGACGACTGGACCGAACACATCAGTGGCCAATGTATTGCTGGTCTTGGGCTATGGGAGGACTCTTGGACGCTTCTGGTATTGGCTTTATTTCCGACACCGGGAGGATTCTAGATAGTGATACCACCCATAGAAAGGCAGGCAAAAAAATACCCCTTGAGCAAGGCCGCTCAAAAAACACTAGTTTTCTGATGCATATGATGATGGTCCGAATGTGGATGTTGAAGATGTTGAAATGTCTCTCTTTGCTTGTAGTTTGTTTCTACAGTAGCTCACTTCCTACAGTCACTCCGTATCACAGCGACAGGTCCCGCCTCTTGCCGACAATTGCCACTGGACAGCAATTGACCAGACAAGACTTTGCGGTCCCGTTTGTCGAAGGCATGGCAGGTCCAGGATCAAGATGCGCTCTTCTCTTGATTGGCCAATGGTGTGCGGGGTTTTGGGTACCTGTTGTCGATGTCGATCCGGAGAAGAGGCACCGGGCTGGGCTGATTCCTGATAAGGTTAGGGGCGGTTCGCAAGCAGACAGTGGAGGGGACCCTGAAGAGGCTTGGATGGAAGGGGTGAGTTCAGGGGGGTCCAACGGGTAAACGCAACGCGAGGTAAGCTCTCCACCTTATTTTTAATTTTGGGATGAAGCCAACCTGTCATCAGTCTAGGCTCATCGACGACGACATTCTGCATCCGCTCTCCTTTTCTTTTGGATTTCCCGACGTTCTTTCTTACTACGCGCTAGACTTCGACCGAGACCTGTTTTACCCTGCCTTTCATCACCTTCGCTTCCGCGTGTGTTCATCGCGCTCTATTCGCCCTCCTGTCCCTACCTGCCTTTGCGACCGAGGTTCGATCTGCGCGCGCGCGCTCGACAAGTTTTCCGACGCAGCAGTATTTCGCAATGGCGCGCTCGAAACAGGCCACGCCCGTCAGGCGGCAGACGTCCTCCGAGTACTTCTCCAAAAATGACCTCGCGCGCACACCCAGCAACGGCGCCGCGGCACCCAACGGCAAGGCCGCCGACTCGGTCGTCGTGCCCGCCGCCGCTGCTCCCGTCGAGACCAAGGAAGCCGGCGCATTGCAGATTCTTATCGCCGTGGGCGGTATCTACGCCTCGTTGTACGTCAAGACCCTTCCTTGGACTTGAGACAAAGTGAGGACGACTCGTATGACTGACCAGCCGCGCTCACAGCTTGACATGGGCATACCTCCAGGAGAAGCTCACGACGACACCGTACGGCCCCGCCTCCAAGCCCGAGGTCTTCAAGTATCCCGTTTTCCTCAACACGATCCAGTCCCTCTTCGCCGCGACAACGGGCCTCCTCTACCTCGCCTACAGCTCTCGCAACAAGCCTTCCCTGCCGCCCGTCTTCCCCTCCCGCAAGATCTTCTGGCCCCTCGCCCTCGTCGCCGTCACCTCCTCCCTCGCCTCCCCCTTTGGCTACGCCAGCCTGAGCCACATCGACTACATCACCTTCCTCCTCGCCAAGTCCTGCAAGCTCGTCCCCGTCATGCTGCTGCACACCACCCTCTTCGGAAAGCGCTACCCGCTCTACAAGTACCTCGTCGTCGCGGGCGTCACGGCCGGCGTCGCCGTCTTCACCCTGCACTCCGGCAGCAAGAAGAAGAAGTCCGTCGTCAACCCGGACGCCAACGTCCCCTGGGGCATGCTCCTCCTGTCCATCAACCTGCTCTTCGACGGCCTCACCAACACCACCCAGGACCACATTTTCGCCACCTTCAAGGGCTACACGGGCCCTCAGATGATGTGCGCCAACAACCTCATGAGCACCGCCGTCACCCTGGGCTACCTCGTCCTCAGCCCCTGGCTGGTGCACACCGGCCTCGGTGAGTACCTGGGCATGGACGTCGCGGGCAACGCCGGGGAGCTCAAGGCCGCGCTGGGCTTCATGGCGAGGTATCCCGCCGTGTGGTGGGATGTGCTGGGCTTCTCTGCCTGCGGCGCCGTCGGGCAGGTATTCATCTGTGAGTTCTCCTTTCCCGCTTTCCCAGGCTCTCCATTTTGCTGGCCTTTGCTAACCCCCTTTGCCAAATCACAGTCTACACCCTCTCGACCTTCTCCTCCGTCCTCCTCGTCACCGTCACCGTCACCCGCAAGATGGTCACGATGGCCCTCTCCGTCTTCGCCTTCGGCCACAGCCTCTCCAACATGCAGTGGCTCGGGGTGTCCCTCGTCTTCGGTGCCATCGGCGCCGAGGCCAAGATCGCGACCGAGGAGAAGAAGGCCAAGGAGGCCGCCAAGCGCGCCGCTGCTGCTGGGAAGACGCAGTAGTCGCGAGCATGCGTTCTCGCGGGACTTACTTTGTTCTCTCCGCTTTTTGGAACCCCCCCACGTGTTGGAACGTCTTGTGATGCCGTAAAGACTCTCTTTCTCATATTATTATCATGCTGAGTTCGAAGAAGGGGAGAGAGCAGGTGTCCAGAGCTCTGAGAAGAAGCTGTTGAGCCAGGGCGGAAGAGATGAGGAGTGAGTGAGTGGGTACAGGAGAGTGTAATTTTGGTCTCAAACATCGTCGTCTTCAGCTGTGTTGAAACATTGACACGCGTAGCCGCAATGTTTTACTTCCTTTCTTTCTGTTTTATTGGTCTTCTATTGTTTACACCAAACCTTTACCGAGATATCCAGACGCCGTTCTCCGGCATATATATACATTACAAGACCACAACAGGGTCTTCTTTATCATGGCGTTGGGACGGCTTTTCTTCCATAGAACACACGCAGAGAGGGCAGTCCGCATGTCGGACGTCAAATTCAATCATCATACCGCTTACTCGCAACCGTGTGAACGTGACGGAACGTCGTGAGCTTCTTGCTGGTGGTCTTCTCTGGAAGTGAAGTGAACCACGTTGGGACTTCCTCAGACCGGACCTACATGGAGTTATGTGATCATTGCGATGAGTGCCTAGACTTATGCCTATTCATGCAAGACCGGTCGTAATCGTGAAGGGGACGGGGCGGAGTACCGTGGGCTTGCGGTGGTCGTCTCGCCTGGAGATGGACAAACATTAGACTCTCGAGACGAGATGGAGAGGATTTAGATCATGATCATGGGTGGTTAAAGGCTCATGCAAGAATTTGCTGTAAATATGAGCAGAGCGGAACATCGTGGACTGCTGATCGCCTCGTCTAGAGGTGAAGGACATTTTACTTTTGAGATGAGGAGGTTAGCAGTGTCTCATAGTCCAAGATATCTAAAGGCTGTTCACCACATGGCATCACTCAATCACAGCAACGGACAAGACACAGCTTTTTGCACACAGAGTGTGGATTCTCATTTCTCAAAGTCATCTACCTCTTCCCCTTCCACCCCAAGCCATGCAGTCATGGTATAACTTTCATCCCATCCCTTCGCCCCTAGACTCCAAATGCGTATGATGGGGGGCCCTTCGTCCGTAGACGCGCCCGCGTGCGGAAAAGACAAAAAAAAAAAGACGAAAGAAAACCTGAATGGGACCAGACAAAACTAGAAACGATGTCGGGAATCTCCCTCGAGTGACCGTTTTCCTCTCCAAGCAAGCCAGTTTCCCCGTGGGGATAATGAAAACGTGGCCTTCATGAGATACCTGTGTACCCTCCCCAACTCCCAAAACGAAGCGTGTTGTTTGAAAGCGACTGCGAGAACAAAAAAGAAATTGATGAATGAAGGCCGAACCCCGTTCCTTGAACCCTTTCCGTTTCCAAGTGGGAGAGGATTTCTCGTCCCATGTTTTCGTTCCAATATCGCGCCCGGGGGATTCGATTCTAGATTACACATTTCGGTTTATGGTTGTAGAGTACGTTTTTTAGTGCTTCGTGACGAGACCAACCGCCATTTCGCCACCTGCTGCGCTCTGAAAGGAAGGCTCGAAAAGACAAATGAAATGCCGGGTAAATGATCGCTGTGCTTCTGCAGCTTTCTCGGTTTTCGACAAGGTGATGCCGGCGTTGCTCGTGAGCTCGATGCTCAACGGCCGCCACCAATGTCCTTGTTTTCAGAACGACACAACGCCTGTAAATGCTGTTGTTCGAAAGACCGTGCTCACTTGGCGTGCGCATGTTTCGAGTGTTGGTCGCGTGCAATTTTTCCGCGAATCTCGTAAGATAGTAAGGGGTCGCCATCTGCACCCGCGACTATATTGCGCGACTAGTCGGCGTCGCAGAAATAGCAACAAGCAGCCCTAGTCCGGCCGAGTGTCGCCGAGTTAGTCCGGTCCCGGGGGCTTGGTGCTAGTCGCTAGTGGCGGTGTGTCCCGTCCTGCCCGCGGTCATAGCAGCTCGTCAATAGACCTCACAATTGGCGTTTCACCTTTTGTAGGCGGACTGCGCGGGTCGGCAACTTGGGTGGGGCGTCCGAAGGGGAAGAAAGGATCCCTAGGGAACATTGTTTCTCTGGGCGAGAACAGACCCTCGCTTGGAGTCGGCGGCACTTCGACAAATCGCATGCCAGTGAACTCGTTGTAGGAGTCGTGCAGCGGATTGTTCGTCATCGTCTCAGCTCTTGGTGACATGAGAGCCGCGTCTTCGGGTAACGCAACCGCAACGTGTCTTTCCTTGTGAGATGGTTCCTCCGGTTCGTGCTCGTGTGAAGGGCCGAGATTCAGACTGGAGAAGCCGAAGCCTCCCGTTGGGCCAAATCTGTGAGAACCAAAGCCAGGTGATGGAGGCGGGCCAGGCGAAGGCGGAGGTTTGGAGAAAAATGACGAGGATAGTGCAAAGCCAGTGTCGGATGGTGTCGGCTTGAGCTGCGGGAGTAACCGATCGACGTCAAATTTGCCGAACTTGGCGGAGTTGTTGTTGCTCTCGCTTTCTGAGCACGAAAAGCTCGATGGTGCCGATGAAGGACCAGGTGAGATTGGTTGACTGCCCGGCGTTGAGTGACCTCGTGCGCGTGTGGGGCTTCCTTTCTTCGGGCTCAAATGACCAGAGCTACCTTCATTCTCTCCAGGCAAAGGGGCCGTCATGGGCTCTTTCGGCGCAGTGTCGATCGCAGCATCCGCAGACAGTGTCAAGCGGTGCTTCGTGGGGCTGCGACCAGTTCGAGGTCGGAATGCGGATCCTGGGGGAGCCTTCTTCTTGGACACTTGCTTCTGGAAGTCCTGCAGACAGTACATGAGCTTCATGTTGGGGCTGATCCATCTGCTCTTGCCCTGCGCAGCGTAGTATGCATCGTTGACGCTCAATTCGGGGTTTTGGTAAAGACCGTAGGCGATGATGAGACTGGCGGATCGGCTTGCACCCTGTTGGCAGTGAACAAGTACCTTCTTTCCCTCCTTGGTCCTGGCCTCAATTGTTTCGCACAGGTGCATAAGGTCCTGCGCGATATCTGTGTTGTGGTCCCAAGGCATGTGGATGTACTCGGGGCGGCTGATGGAGAAAGACATCGCCTTGGGCGTCGTCGGGGTCTCGACCTTGCCGTCAGCGGCAAACTCAAATGCCGTTGAGAAACTAGCATTCGATACGGCAGAGTCGGGGATCGGGCTCAGCACAGCGGGAGAGTCGGTCATTTCCACGTCGCCCTTGGGCAGCACGGAAAATGGGTTTCTGACTTCCCTCGCAACGTTGATGACCGTGTCGAACTTGGAGGCCTCGTCCGCAGTTGGCTCCAGGTAGAGGTAGACGTTGTCTTCATAAATGGCGATGGGGCCATCGGGATATCCGGGAGTCTTTTGGTCTTCGTTGTTCTCGTTCTCGTGGTATGGCTCGAAATCGAGAGCAGCGCGACTGGCGAGCTGCGTCTTGATGGGTGAGTCCTCTTCGACAATCGTGGTGTCGAAAGAAGAGCCAACGCCGGTCTTTGTTGGCCTCAGGAACTCCGACAAGCCCGACTCATTACGCTCCAAGACCTTGGGGAATGTCATGCCACCCGGTGGGCCGAAAGTCGCCGACTTCAAGGAAGGCAGCATGTGCGGAGAAGAAGTCGAGTGCTTAAGGGCGCGTCTCTGCATGATCGGTGCCATTCCAGGTGTGCCGGGAACCTCTAGCGTATTCCGCATGACAAGATCCGACGTCTTCGTCTTGAGGCTCAGCTGACTAGGCTTGCGCTTCATTCCGGGGATGGTGGGCTTGATGAATGAGGGGGATGCGGGTTCAGACACGAGCGTCGTGGCTGTGTTGCCCATGAAAGGTGGCTGGATGGAGAGTCCCTTCATGTTCTTTGGTCGGCGCGGTGAAGGAGATGTCATCGGTCGGCGGAAGCTCGAGTTCTCAGAAACCGTCAGGGTGTTCAAGGAAGACATGGGCGGAAGCGCGCCGAAGGAAGTCGCCGGAAAGGAGGACAGAGGAATCAGGTTAACGGGCGAGTCCGGGGACGAGGAAGGCGACGGGTCCGACAGAGGGGAGGAATCACTTGTTGACAGAGTTGTCGTGGGTGATGACTCTGCAGACTCGGAAGCCTGGGTAGAAGTACTGTCGTGGTGCTTGTGCGTAAGATCCGAGGGTATTGTCGGGCGGATGTGCTGGACCGGGTTGGCCAGCGGCTTTCCAGTGGCCTCCATCTCGATCAATTTAGGGTCGACGAGGGTTTCGGTTTCCTGGGCTGCGATTGTCTCGGCGTCGAGGTCGAAGACTGACATGAAGGAGGGGATTTGATCCTCGTAGACCCTTCTTGCCGCTGCCGACGGCATGGTTTTGTGCACCTTGGGAATGGGTTGCCCGAATCCCTTCTCTCTTTCTCTCCTCTTGCGCGAAAACGTGGTGACGGCAGTCTCGGCGGACGAGACTGAGAGGGCCGAGAGTGGCACCGTGGGCGAAATGAGTAAAGAAATGGTTGCGTTTGTTTGGTGGAAAGAGCGTAATCGCGGGTTTGGTCAAATCGTGGGCGACGCTAGATCGGAGGACAGCACTGCTGAATCCCTTCACTGGTTCTTCCTCCGCGGGTTGGTTATGGTTATGTGGTGATTGTGGTTGTGGTGGCCCAGTCTCGGAAGGACCGAAGTGTTTCTATTCTCTCCTCCTCCTCGTACTCGGGGTAGTGCCGCAGCAGTACAGGTGACCAGGCTTTGCGACAGGTACGGGTCGACGAGCGGGGGCGATTATTCGTATGCGGCGGGGCGAGGGCGAGGGCGTTGAGCAAACGGGTTGGCGGAGAGAGAAGTCGTCGTGTGAAGCCGAAATGGTAGGATGAAGTGATAGAAGAGTAGTAGTAGGAAGGTGAAGGTAAAGTTTGTGGTTGTTGGAAGAATGGGTGGGAGAGAGAAAACAATGGCTACTGGACACGACGAAAACGGCGGCTTGGGGTTAGCACATGCTGTAGAAGAAAAATGTGTGGCACCGTCAGAACGGAAACATTGGCAAGGCGGGTTTGAAAGGGAAAAGGTTTGGTCGGTAGCAAGATGCGTGAAGCGCCGGAGGCAGAATTGGGAGAGCAGGTAAGAAGACGAGAAATGGGATTGGGGAGGAGGGGAGGCGGGTGGAAGAAGGTAGTTGAGGGTTGAATGGAAGGGTTCCAGAGTGGTAGGAGGCAGGCGTGAGGTAGAGAAGGGGACGGGGAGACAGGTGCACTGGGATTGGGACTGGGACTGGGACTGGGACTGGGCCTTGGACTGGGGGGTGTGAAGGAATTGGATTGGTTTGGGAGAGACGAGACGCAGGCGCAGGCGCAGGCGACTGGAGAGAATGGCTCGTCGACGAGGGCAACTGACTGGGCTGGGTCTGGCCTGGAGATGCTGGTCAATGGAAGTCACTGCACACAGCACACAGCACACAGCACCAGCACCGGGTGGTGGGAGGGTCCCCAGGGCTCCAGGGCACCAGAACACCAGGGTTAGTTGCTGGCTGAGGTGACCGGGGCACAGGGGTCTTTTTCTGGGCTGCTAGTGGCTACCGCAACAAGTGGGTACACGTACAGGTACGTATCGATGCTTCCTTGACTGAGGTGGTCCCAAAGGGGAAAAGCGGCAGCAGAGTCTGGGGATACGTATTTTTCTTACGATGTCTCCATTTTTCGGATTCGTTGCTGTGAGAGCGCTCTCCTTCTCTTCTTGCTTCCTCGTTGAAGACGCGGAGTGAATGCTCTACGGAAGAACTGGACAACTGCAAATGAGAGTGTCCACTTGGAAGAACACTGAGGTAGAATCTAAACACTCCCACACTAAAATCACAGAACACACAGGCACAGAGCGCTAGAGGTCGGATCGAGTGTTAGTACGGCCCTCGTCTTTAGATGTGGTGCACTAAGCCGCCGCCATCACTTGTCTGCCGTCCTTGGATTGATTGTTCCGAGTGGTTAGAGCCATGGCATCAGGACGAGATGAAGTCATTACGTGGAGGGACCTGGTTATGGTTCATTTAACACGATGCAGGGCCGTCCAACTGGTGAGGTAACAGACAGATTCCGTTGAGGCGAATTGAGGGGAAATGGTAAGCAGGAACGCCGCTGAAAGAGGAGGTGTCGAATTGCTGACTTCCCAAGGTTTCCTGATGCTCATCAGAGGCAGAAGAAGAGAAGGGAAGGCACACTGGAAGTGGAGTCACGGTCAACTTTCCTCGTGAGAAGAGGCTTTGTGGACTGGAGGCAGAGGCACACCTCAGGTGCAGGCACAGGCAGGGAAGGTGGGGCACGGGTGGCCGCCACAGGCTTCATCGTGACTGGAGGGTGTTTTGCGAAACATGACCAGGGGCTATTAATAGCCCCTGGTCTGTGTAGCCCCCCCGGCGCATGCGTCCAGACGGGACAGCGGACAGTGGACAGTGAGGTCCTAGAGCTGCGCAGCCCAGCCGTCGGCGCCAATATTCGGCCAATGGGCGTCCCGGGCGCTCCAATTTGCTGCTGCAGCGTAGCAATTTTAATTTTTTGCCTTCTCGCCTTTTTTTCATCTGGTCTGTGACTCTGTCTGTCTGTCTGTATGTATGTACGGATATGCATCTGTGGTCTGTTCTGTCTCTGTCTACCCGCAGTTGTTGCGCTCATACAAATGACTTTCATTATTTCGGACGGCTATTCCGTGCAGCTGACTAAATTTGAATAAGGCGCCCTGTCAAACTGCACGCTCAGGACGGCCACTGCGGTTTCGGCTTTTATTTTCGACCCTCGGCTGTTCCTGGACTTGTGCTTTATTTCCGGCCATTGAGCAACAGAAAAAAACAACGCCATGTTTAGAATCAAGTTGTTACGTAGAGAACAAAACTTTCATGCCGGTGCCATGTGCCCATGTTTACTGTGTCTCTGACCGCACACAGCACAGCAACACAGACTCAACAACAGAGTCACAACAATCATTTCGCTATTGCTATTGCTATTGCTACTGTTACCTCGCCTTGCGTCCTCGGACATCTCCAAACAATAACAAACGCTGATTCCAATATCTGGCAGGCAGGGCCTGTCACAAAGTCCAAGTTCCAACAACCGAACCGCAAACCCAGTCCAACCACCACCAGTAACAGGTTTCTTCCCACGTTAACCGAGTGTCAGCGCGACGAACTAAGGTATTTTGTGTGGACTGATGATCGATCTCCAACTTTTTTTCTTACGCTCCTCTTCTTCGTCCCCTTGACTCCTGCCCTCGCCTTCCCTGGCAGCCCCTTCCCAGCCCTCGAATGATCGTCACCCCCCTCTGGGTGCGCCGTCTCGGTTGTCAGTCAGATCGCCCTTGAGCCCCAGTGTTTCTGGCAGTCTGACTCTTTTCGGGGGTGCGGTTGTGTGGTTTGCAGCTGTGCTTGTTGTCGCGAGAGCCTCTCACTGTCCTGTGCTTTTTTCATCTGGCATCCTTGCGGCGGTGACCAAGAAAAACCCGCGTTCCCAGATACCGACTTGCTGGTTTGGCGCCTGCTCAGTGCTCTCTCTCTCACTCACTCACACACACCATTCCTAGGGATCGGGAACGAATAAGCTATGGGACACTAACGAGAACCATGGTTCTGACGAAAGAAAAGCGTGCCTCGTCCAATCCACCCAAGCCCATATTTTCTTCAGCGACCTTCGCGGGACGTCCGAAATCTCTCGGCCGGGTGCTCATGTGCCCCCTCGGAGATCTCCTGTTTTTCTTGGTCGAAGGGATGGATATGTCGATCAATCTGTTCCGAACCTCCTCTCTGTCTCTCTGTGTCCTCTCGCGAGGCGTCAAAATGCACACGATCAAACATATCGCAACTCCTGCCTGCCCGCGAATCACGCCAAAAAATTCCCCCTTCCACCACCACCCCCTCCAGCCAGTCTAGAACACGATTGTTTTCGGCTCCTTCCCGACAGCCCTTGCGATGCGGCGGCGCATTCTTGCCCAACGTGGCCAACCACCACATTGGTTTCAGTTTGAATCATCGTGAACAGGTTTTACCGCAAGCCCCTCCTACCTTACCCCCCGTTCCCAGCCCAGCCCAGCCCAGCCCAGCCCAGCCCAGCCCCATCTCCTCCCGCGGCTGGCTCGCTCGGTGTTAGCCGCCAGAAATCACAAAACATGACCTGACTCTTGTTCTCCGGAGCCTCAATCTCTGAGCGTCTCGCGCGCGCCCCAGCGGCAATGAGCAGAGGCCACCTTTTTTTTTTCCCGCGCCCGAATAAGGTAGGTAGGTAGAGCTTGAGGTGCCTCCATTCGCGAACCACTCGATCGGGCTCGCCGCCGGCCGCGTCTGTTCTCACCTTACACAAGAGAACGAATGGGGTTCCCGCGCCTATTCAATTTGTCGGAAACGCATCGCCTCGTCCCGATCTGGCAGAAGGTAATATGGCAGCTGCGCCCGATCTAGATTGCTATTCCTCTCCTTCAGATGATAATTGCCCTAAAAAAGGAGGTGGGAGGCGGGCACCGCGGTGGTCCGCTCTACCTGCGGCTGTCTTTTGTCTTCAGATACATGGTAAGGCCACTGTAATAGCCGCAGGACGGGCTTTCCAATCTGTCGGCGGCTGACCGAGGAGGGGGGATCCCGTCCACTCGAGGCACACGACAGTCTGCTGTTTAGATGGTCCACCAGGCGGTACCCGGGATACGGTTGTCGGCAGAGGAGAGAGACACGCGGTGGTCGGGTTCGCGATGTCACGGTGTCCAGGAAGTGAATGGTTGGTGATTTAATTTAACACGATAAAATTTCTGGCATATCGCAAGGTTTGACTTGACGTCGCGGCTGAAAGACAAAAAAGACGTGCACCTCGTGGCAGACCGGGAACAGAGTCATGACAGAAGCCACACTCCTAGACGGTCAGCCAGCATGTCTCGAGGCAGACTGAGGTCGAAGTGTGAGCGACGGCTGAAGCTATCGCTGCTGCTGCTGCTGCTGTTGCTTGGCGTTAATTGCAGAAGTGGGAATTGACAACCAGCGGTCATCCCTCCCCGACCTCGACCTTCATCTTGCCGGCTGCATCCCTGGTCCTGTAGTTTCTCGTATGGGAGATGCCGAGGCAAGGGGCCGGGAATCGTGGGTTCAGTTGTCTTTGTTGGTGGCATCTTTTTTTTTTCTTCATGGATGATACCTTCGTCTGAGCTGAGGGAGGGTACGAACGGCCATAACAGTCGATATTATCTATTCTACAAAATTAGGAACACGGTCGTCATACTTATTCTCACCGTTCGTCAATCTTAGCATTTTGGGGAGATGCCCACGTTTCGTCCCATGTATGCTCTTTTGCCCTGCCTAGCCTTTCCATGCCCATTACTACCTCCACCATCCCCAAAAGCCCAAGGGGTACGGGGGG